ACGAAAATATATAGAGAAGACCTCAGTCAAAACTTTTTAGGCCCTACCCAAAATAACTAGCAAAGACGTTTCGTCTTCATTATATCGTCATCAACAATAAATTTCGAAATAGTTTTGGAAATGATTGGCATACATTTGTTATCAGGTTCAATAATATTTATTTTATAATAAAATAATAGAAAGCATTAGTCTCAACTTCCAATGTACGACACTTGGGTACGATGACTCGTCGATACAATCATAAATAAATATTTACTGAATTCATGTCTGAACTGGCTGCCTCTTTGTCCAGAAAAATTCGGTCTCGTTCGCCACCGCGCTAGTGCAGAATCGAGAACTTGTGCAACTATTTCTAATCGAACAGATATACGATTTTATGTGGCGTCAGTTTTGAAATAAATCGATGGATTTTTATTCCTCTGCGATAAATCAAGTGGGGGCGTTAGAAGTAAACTTGTTAGAAAGCTATTTTAAACAGATTGGGCCCTGTAAATCAACGTTAGTGTTTTATTTAATTTTTTAATGTCAGATCGTCTCTAAATACGTCAAAAGAGGCGTATTCTTTAGAAAAGCCGCAAGCAAATATGTAACTTTATTACCTATAAGACTCTAAGGTGACCTTTGAGAATTTCTGAAGTGGAAAATGTTTTATTAACTAGTTAATGTGAAAAAGTGAATTTTTAACAATGTTTTGAATTGATATAAAGTTTATTGTAAATTTTTACAAAATATTGTTACGTCTCAAGTTGAAATTCATTAAATAAATTGCGAAAAATTCTATTAATTGATGATTTTCCGTTTTTTCGGACCCGTCGTGCGGAGCACTCAGTACAGCATTAGGACTTATTTCCCTTTACATAAGTATGGACGACTTCAAAGAATCGAAAGGTAATGAATACGCTTGAATTCGGGTTGTGTATGTTTATACACTAACCAGAGACTTCTGCTCTAGTTATTGAACTACACGACACCAGAGTCGACGTTCCATCACGCTCAATGGCTCTGACAACTCTCGGGTACTGCTCTTCGGTATGGATTCTGACATCTGGCCTCTTTGGATTCGACGATTCATGACAGTTGATTTCCGCGTCGTGGAATATGGCTGATTCTTTAGATAAGCTTTCCTGGGGTTTTCGTGATTCTAAACGCCTGGGGCGAAATTTTAACAGATGTCGCCTGTCATGACTAGGTGTTTGAAGCGATTTGCGGCCTCTTTGGTCAGTTTCAGAGATTGAATTTGAAACATAGGTGAAAATTTTGGCAACTATTTTGGTTGGATTTTCTGCGCGTATGCAGACGGCTTCGTAGTCCAAATTTAATACTTTACTAAAATTTGAAATACACTCAGGGCTTGGAATACAACAATTTAAACATATTTTTAAGATTCACCTTGTATAAATCAAGCATAATACCCAAATTTATTTTAAATATCCCTTGGAACATAAAAAGAGATATAAAACAATGAACTTAATTCTTAAGTTTTATGACATTGTTTACGTTCTGCTAAGTGTCCTTCCGTTTACTTCCTAATACGAAGGATTGTTGTAACCTTTTATTTGCAAACGAAATGCCTACCTCTGGATTTTCTGTGGATCAACTCGAACAAGCAAAGCAAAGAGTGGTCTGACCGTAATCGGCAACCCACTTTTATGATAGTTTCGAGTGTCGTTACAATATCCCGCTTAATTACAGTCATTATACAGTTCGTGATGGAGTAGATGAACATTTTATGGTTTTCCACAATGGGTTTTCTAGAGCATAAAATTGAAAATATCTGTTTAGTTGCTTTCTATTCGAAACCGGTGTAGCATTAAACATACAGTTTATGTTGTTAATGTTACCGACAGAATATCTATCCATCCTTGGTTAGATCTGCCATTTCCCTTTGTAGAAAAGATCCTGTTAAAAAAGCAACAATTTTTATTTCAATTTTATTTAATTTTTTGACACAGGCATTTTAAATATGCATCTCAATATATGTAAAATAAATAAGTATTCAATTTAGTTTGCCATTAACTTCTTCAGGTATTTTTTACTGCGCGGAAAAAATATCTTATAAAAATTTACGATATTATTATGACTCCATTTTGTGCAAATGTTATCATTATTGTAATTATGCATATAAATAATTTTCGTATGTCATTCTTCAAAAAAATATACCTATTTTTATTGCAGTAAAATTTATTAGTATTATCCTGTTGAATTCTACAACTTGTATCTGTTATTGTAGTTATTTATTAAAATATATTTCGAGATATACTTTATTATAGTCTGGGCAATACTGGGCAATAAATCTCAGCAGTTGACAAGTGGTCGACAAATTGCCCAGCAGTGCAGTGCAGCAATGCAGAATTTGGTGTGATTCAGGTAATTTTAATTTTTTATAGGCACCTTCTATTAATCATTGATATTACAATTGCGAAAGGGAGAAATAATATTATTACAACATGGCATTTTGGAGACCTTTTGAAATGGAACAAAACGAAATTTACCATCAATATAACAAAATTGTTTGAGGACATAAATAATTAAAATGTGTTGTTGGCTAAATGAACAAATAATAGAAATTTTCTGCACATTATATACAAATTATTATAAGTTTTTACAGTCATCAGAAAACTTTTTTAGGGACGCTTATGAAACTCATTAAATTTTATTGCCAGGCGTTTTTACATGTTCACCTGACTTCGGAAAGACTGTACAACGGTGAGGTTTTATTCAAACATTTTAAATACAATTTGTTGGTAAAGTGTGACAATTAGTTGTATTTTCTATACAAATTATAGTCAATGGTGGTACAATTGTGAATTTGTGAGAACTTTTAATTGACATTTTACCAGCTGATTCTTTTATTTCTATTTTTATCCATTGCCATGTGCGTTGCCGATACCAAATCCTATATACAGCATTAATATAAATTTTCTGGATAGTTACCTCACATCTTTGAGAATCATTGAAATTGCGGAAACCAAGAAGAAAGCTATTGAGCAAAACTTAAAAACATATCGATTTGCATTAAAGCAAGAAAGTTCAAGAAACGGTCTTCAAAAAAATATCGAGAAATCCTAGAATTGGTTTTTGCAAGTTTTAAAATTATATCATAATTTGCACTTAAGCATAGGTATAAGGGTTTCATTTAAAAATGCACGATATCTCGAAAATAAAATGAGATATTTAAGTTCTAAAGTTCGTGTATGTCGAGATTTGTACTCAAACGACATTTGAATTTGATTTAAAAGATCACTGATTCCAGATATAGATATAAGCTGTATATATTTTTTTAAAGAACAAAAAATTATTATACAGGGTGTCCCAAAATTAAGCGCCAAAGTTTTAACCCATCAAAAGCAACACTTTTGTCTAATAAATTTTTTCGGTTGGTTTGTACCCACTGCTAACGAGTAGCCTATGGATTAAAGAAATAACTAAGTAACTAATATTTTATGGAATGATCTTAAAATCTTTTGTTTATCAGTAAAACAACTAAGTTTCGACTTCAGTCGCAGTCTCGTGCAACAAGAATTTAGAATTTTTTAATATTATATTCTCTTACAAATTAAGAGTCTTTCGAAAACAAAAATATTAGACAAAAATTGTTGCCTTTGATAATTTAAATGTGCGGTTCCAAATGTTTCAATGTTTCAATTATTTCTGGGACATCGGTGTTTGGGAACTATTTCACATTAAATTAATCTTGGTAAAATGGTAACTTATTTTATTTAGAGTATCTACTGCACTATTAACAATTAATTATCTACTTGTTTTAATTTTTATATACGATTTCACATTTTCCTAAGTAGTTTTTATGATTATTTTACAATATGTACTTATACGCCGACTAAGTAATACTGCAACACACAACGCACGTGCACAAGATGCACAGGGTCGACTTACGTTCTTAATTAATTTCTCGAAAAGAGAAGCATTTAGACCATCAGTTGTTTAATAAAAGTTGCTCATATTCGTGCTCTCTAAACAAAATTATTTATTGACAAAAATAAGAACCGACTGAAAATTTAAAAAAATTAAATCTATTTCGGTAAATGTTTTATTTGCAGTTTAAAGTTATTGCTTTTAATCAAGTTAAATCCATAGTCTCCAATACATTTTATCAATTGCCCTTTTGAATTAACTATTTTTTATAACTTGGAAAAATAAAGACGAAAACGTTTTAAAAAACATCGAATTAAATAATTTCTAGTCAAACAATTTTAACCAGTAAAACTTGATATGATAAGCACTTACATCCATTCCAAAATTAATTGGTAGGTCAGAATTTACTGGATTTTCATTTCCTTAATCGAATCGAAAAGTTATTATGTTATAAATATAGTAAAATTTAGATATCTCTTTTGGTTTTCGAGATATCAGGCTTAGGATTTTTAGAGGAAACACCTTGTACATAAAAATTTCTTTTAACTATAGTCAGCAAAAAGAGGTGTACTAATAAACACATGGTAACGTTTTTAGTGCTTTCACCGCCAGTGGTAGAGTTCTTAGTCATTGAAAATTTAAAATAATTTCACCTTACGAGCAACATCACTTACTTTCACCTTAAAACCTTCGACATTAATGACTGCAAACATTGCGAACTTTATACTTAGTTACTATGATGAGTCATAACAATCTCACTTTTTCTCAATTAAATCAATCAAAAATACGGGTTCAACTCCACTTCCTATCTTGTTGAATATGCGTGCCATCATGCATAATTCTTTCACTAATGTATGCATACATGTACATAAATTATATGAAAAGGTATTTGTCCTGAATTTTAATTTTATGTATTTCTCCAACCAATGGGAATATTGCTTATGTTCTAAGAAAAACATAGCAATTGTCGACGGGACAACGAACTGTTTATCAATAACGTTTTTCATTTACTTAAAAGGTCATTTAAAGTTTAAAATATTTATGTGTGTGTGTTGTTTTTACTCATTTCTTTTGAAGCTTGTTTTGCGGGGAAAATTAATGCTATGGTTCTCCTGGCGTCAACTTACCGGCATGCTCCAGCACGTGTTCCAGACAAAAATTCCCAGCTGGCAAGAGGAACTTATCGTTCACGGACAAACTGCCGTTGCCCAATATCTTGGACTCGTGCAGTTCAGCCACAACTTGGTGCCTCTTGTCCGGACAAGAAGGAAACCCTGCCCCGAGCGTCTTGTCCTGACCTATGTCAATTTTGTAAGTGTCACCTTTAAAGTATATACAAGTGTTGTTCTTCTGCGAGAATATAGCGTCGTCCCCACAGCATTTTTTAACAACGGGATAAGAAATGCTCTGGGGGTCGATGCACACCATAGTGAAGTGGTAGTCCAGGCAGAACTGGTCGGGGTGGAACAACTTGTTATAGTGGAAGCTGAACAGGGACCCGTTGAAGAAGGGGACACTACTCTTGTTCTCGTTGAACAACATCACCGGTTTCTCGCACTTCGGTCTGTGGTTCTCCACGGTTTTCCAGTGAATCGGCAATTTGCCGCTGAACTTCTTCAGGCCTTCCCGCGCGGTGAACACCAGCAGTTCCCAGGTGCTCGACTCGTTCCTTAAGCACTTAAAATCCGACATCAGCACCTCGTCGTGGTTGCAACACTTCGAGATCGTCACGGGCTTTAGGGCCAGAGCCGCTGGAAACGCCAGAACTAACAGAACAATGCCCGCCGACACCGTCATTTCGAAACGCCGAAATCGATTCTATTTCAGAGCATAGTTCGTTTCGTCGGACATTTCACACTCGCAATGTCTGACGCGCGTGTTTTTGAGGATCTGGGTAGGCCGCGTACGCTGTCTTCTCGAGAGGCTCGATCGTCAACTGTTTTCCTTCCGATCGCAGTAGTTAACAGTTGCGGTGGACCGGTCGCTCCCCACTTGATGTTCGTCTTACCTTTACAGATGGGCCGCTGCGATCAAGGCTTGTCCTCTATTGGCGCCCAGTCCAGAGGGGTGGTTGGGGATCGGAGACGCGATTTCTAGTATTATACAATAGAGACATAGGCGCAGAAAGCTACCGTTTATGAGATACAAGGCGTTGAAATTAATAAAAGTAAAACAATTTTTTTAAATATCTGGAAAACCGCATCATAATATGTCTCATAACTCGTAAACCAAAAATAAAGGCGTGTTTTTTCATCCGAATGTTTCAGACCGTTGTAAAATGTATTCATATTACCAATTACTTCAGTGGCGTAGAAGTTTTACTTTGAATAAGGAAACGATATCCTTGTTTCTCCGCCACTGGTTTTTGAATTTGGAATGTGTACATACAGAACTAGAAGAAATATTTGAAAAAAATGTGTACCAAATTTGGATAAATTTTATTTTTTGTTAATTTCAACGCCCTATATATCTCATAAACGGTGACTTTCTACGCCTATGTTCATCGAGTAAAGTGATGTTAATTTTTGTTGTTTAGTACTTTCTCGAAGTTTATCTATTAAAATCTGGACCACCCTGTATATTATACGAAACATGTTTTTAGTGTCAGACACATTTTTTTTGTATTTTAACACAAACCGCGCGAACAGAAATTTGGTAATATTAGAAAAAAATCGGCAGACCAGACCAACGACTAGCTCTGTAAGCTGCTTTGCAATTAATTTACCTGTAGGGTAAATTCTATATAAATATAGAATATAATCATTAAATAGCGTGCCTAATCACATTTTTCTACAAACTTCAAAAAATGACAAGGTTTGCGCATTGACAACAATATGCGAAGTGACACTTTTTTTCGGATTCTTACGTTACCATGACACCGTGCGCGAAATACTTCGCGCACTAGGGTGCGAAGTATTTCGCANCCTTTACAGATGGGCCGCTGCGATCAAGGCTTGTCCTCTATTGGCGCCCAGTCCAGAGGGGTGGTTGGGGATCGGGGACGCGATTTCTAGTATTATACAATAGAGACATAGGCGCAGAAAGCTACCGTTTATGAGATACAAGGCGTTGAAATTAATAAAAATAAAACAATTTTTTTAAATATCTGAAAAACCGTTTCATAATATGTCTCATAAGTCATAACTCGTAAACCAATCACTTTTCGCCAAAAATAAAAGCGTGTTTTTTCATCCGAATGTTTCAGACCGTTGTAAAATGTTTTCATATTACCAATTAATTCAGTGGCGTAGAAGTTTTACTTTGAATAAGGAAACGATATCCTTGTTTCTCCGCCACTGGTTTTTGAATTTGGTATGTGTGCATACAGAACTAGAAGAAAAAATGTGTACCAAATTTGGATAAATTTTATTTTTTGTTAATTTCAACGCCCTATATCTCATAAACGGTGACTTTCTGCGCCTATGTTTATCGAGCAAAGTGATGTTAATTTTTGTTGTTTAGTTCTTTCTTGAAGTTTGTCTATTAAAATCTGGACCACCCTGTATATTATACGAAACATGATTTTAGTGTCGAACACATTTTTTTTGTATTTTAACACAAACGGCACGAACAGAAATTTGGTAATATTCGAAAAAAATCAGCAGACCAGACCAACGACTAGCTCTGTAAGCTGTTTTGCAATTCATTTACCTGTAGGGTCGCTTATTTAGGTTAAATTCTATATAAATATAGAATATAATCATTAAATAGCGTGCCTAATCACATTTTTCTACAAACGTCAAAAANTTATAAAAAGAGGGCGACCCCTGTCCAGTTGTACACCACTGGTTGAACCTCTAGAGCTCGAATTTTAGGGAATGCAAGGTCTACTGGCATACATTATCTATACCAAATTTTATTGAGATCGGTTAATAAATTCCGGAGATATAAACAAAAAATCAACAAATTTAACACCCTGTATCTCTAAAACGAAGCCGTTCCAGACCCATGTTTATAAGGCAAACACCTATTATTTTAAAGAGATCTATCTACCCTCGAAGTTTCCTGCATAAAATTCGGACCACCCTGTATACAGGAAATCTCCGGATTTTGAAAATTCAGTTTGAAAAAATAATCATATCTGTTTAGGCAAAATATAATTTTTGTACAAAAAAATTGGATTAGGGAAAGTTATTGGCAATTAAAATTTATGTATACAGGGTGTTTGGAAAAGTTTGTACAAAATTAAGGAGGTGAAAGTAAGGCCAAAAATAGTAAAAAAAGTTCCTATAAACATTGGTCCTCCGGAGCACCGTTACGGAAATATGGCCCTCCAAAGGGGTCTTATCATTTGGATATTTTTTAAAATAACTTTCTTTCTGATTAAGACGACGGAATCAAAATTGTAGGTAATAATCATACCATAAGGGTCTTTAACTATCATAAGTTTCATCAAAATCGGATATAAATAAGAATAATTTTGTAACTACTCAACAGAAATTTTTCGAATTTTTTTTATTCCTTTGAATTATCAAGCAAATATTATTTCTTAATAAATTAGACTTTCTTGAAGAAAAAATGTCTACTTTTTTTAGAATTCTGCGTAGTTTAATCCGAAATAATTATTTTTTAAATAATATATGGCTAAGAAGAGTAACTTTTTTTTAACATTTTGACATAGTAGGCATCTTTGATAGTGACAGTTTCGTTGTAGTGATACTAATGATCGCCACTTTCGCGTACGCTATCGTTTAAATTCTTACGTTTCTTTATCTTCTTAGTTGTGATCTTTGCGCTTGACTTTGCATTTCATTCGATTTTTTTACAACCATGAACCATCACGGGCAGACGCTCTTCTTACACTCGCAATGGGATTACGTTAAAAAAATCGTAAAATTACTTCGTCTAAATCGTATATCTTGGAGTTAGGGTTTCTGATTTCATAGCCCTTGCATGAATTTTCCGAAACAATCTTGCAGAGGGTTGCCTTCTATCAGGAAAACGCTGCCGATACTCTTTGAGCCGACAGATTATTTCCATTACAGAAACCATAAATAAAATGCATATCAGCATATTCACGGTTAGTAAAAGCATGATGGTTCATGGTTGTAAAAAAATCGAATGAAATGCAAAGTTGAGCACAAAGATCACAACTAAGAAAATAAAGAAACATAAGAATTTAAATCATTGCAAGCGAAAGTGACAATCATTAGTATCATTACAATGAAACTGTCAGTATGAAAGATGCCTACTATGTAAAAATGTTTTAAAAAATGTTACTGTTCTCAGCCATACATTATTTAAAAAATAATCATTTTTGACTAAACTACGCAGAATTCGAAAAAAAAAATACATTTTTTCTTCAAAAAAAGTCTAATTCATTAAAAAATAGTATTATTTGCTTGATTATTCAAAGGAATAAAAAAAATTCGAAAAATTTCTGTTAAGATTAGTTACAAAACTATCCTTTATAACCGATTTTGATGAAACTTATGGTAGTTAAAGTCCCTTATGGTATGATTATTACTTACAATTTTCATTCCGTGATCTTAATCAGGAGGGCCATATGTCAGTAACGGTGCTCCGTAAGGCCAATGTTTATAGGAACGTTTTTTACTACTTTCACTCCCTTAAATTTTGTACCAACTTTCCCAAACACCCTGTATACCAAATTTTGAAATGATCAGCCCACTTTGCAAATCTCTACAAAAATGATGCCATCAAATTTGAGACAAACTTTAATTCTAAACCAACAAATTTATTCCCAATTTCTTAAACAAAAGGGAATTTTACATACATAAGATGTTAAAATTTAAATAATATATTTTAGGCCAATTACTTTAAAATTTGATATATGGCAAGAAATTTTAATTGCTAATAAATATTTTATATCAAAGTGGCACCTTACAATAGGTTCACAGAAAATATTTTTTGTCTCTGGCACCACTTACTTTTTGAAAAAGAAATGTTACAAATTGCTTCTTACTTTATTACTACTACTCTTAACCAAGCAGGAGAGTTTCCCAAAATGCCAAATTCGTTTTTATTTTATGGATGTATTTATTTATTTCAGGGCAATTTTTTTTTTTTGGCAACTAGGGTTAAAACTATAGAGACATCCCATGCAGATTAAATATTGGAAAAGGATTCGTTATTTACGTGTTTCTTAATTGGAACTACTGGTATATTAATTGAGTTATAAAGACAAAAAAATCATCTATATTTCTATTTGCCTTCATGGATACAATATACAGGGTGTTTCTGAAATAAGTGCGTTCCTTGAAAAGGGTGATAGAGGACACGAAAATCAGCAACTTTTATTAAGCAGCTGATAGTCTAAAACATTACGTTTTAAATTGAAACAAAATTTTTCACATGAAGATTTAAACAAATTTAAAAGCCATCCCTGGTGTGGCACTGACACGGGCGTAGCAAGAGGGGTATGGGGTATGCACAGCCCACTCCAGAAAGCCCGGTGACGACCACAGAAAAAAAGATGTACTTAGATAATACATATTATCATCTTTGTCAGATCTATAAGTCAGTGAGTGCGTGAACTTTTTTTAGAATCAAATCAAAACGTGTAAAGTGTTCAAAGTTTATATCGGTATGTCGGGCGTTTTTTTTTAAGAGGTTTCTATAGAGCTTGCAGCCCTAGGCACACTCCAAGCAAAAATTGTAACTACGCCCATGTGTGACAGCCTATACCGGTTTTGACGGTTTAAATTTTATGTTCGAAAATGTTGAAATTTATTCAAATCTCGTTTAGAAGTGACACAATAATTCAACGAATAAACAATCTTGTGCTATTTGATGCCGAAACCACTGGCAAAATTCCACACGAGTCTGAAAATCAT